GTGTCGTTCCCTGCAAAAGGTGCATCGATTTTGTCAACTTACAACCACAAAACATTACTGTAAATAAAGTCCAATGCAACTTGAAATAGATGTTCTGCTCTGCTAATCATAAAATAATAAGTGTTGAACTTATCAAATAGAACGGTGCTCTGGTGACATAAAACCAAAATGCTACTTTTTAGTCCAGTCTTACACACACGCTAACTTGGATACACCAGCTCGACTGTGAGGCACAGCAGCAGCATCGTTGCAGTGAAAAGGAATCGGAGATGGTTTTAATTTTATGCAAAAGTTGAAAGAGGAATGAATACTTTTGTAAGGCACTATATCCTGCTGCTGCTCTGCTTTTTCAGTTGTTTCTCTTGAACCTGACAAAAAGCTCCAAAACTATTGAAAGCAGACTGTGGAAACTGCCTTCCACCAACAGAGCACATGTATTTGTGTCTGTGTATTCGCTATGAAGAATCTCTCTCATTAAAATGCATGTATGGATAGCACTGATGCAAATTTCGGGAAATACGTGATCTTATTTTGACTTTTTTTTATGTTTTGCACACCTTACTAAGACTTTTGATCTTGCACACAGGGGAAACAACAAAGTTTATGATCGTGCGGTGTCGGCGTGCATATCCACCGGGATACCTTTGAAGACGAGGATAAATTAAGCTATTCAGCCTTAAATTTGCAAGTTTTTGTTTAAGTTTTTCTGTTGTTTTTTCTTTTCTTTTTTTTCCTCAGTCCCCCCACTTTTCTTTTTGTTGCGTCTCCAACACAAGTGACGCTCTCTATTTATGTACAAAAAAAAAAAAAAGTTAAATCTGCTGCTGTTTGTAACCGACTCAGTCTTTAACATAGGAAGAATGTAGGCTGGAGAATGAGGTAAAAAAAATGTATCTCTCCTTTATGGGGGGAAAAACTGTGTTTTCTGCAAACAGCGTACATCAAAGTGCAGTTAGAGCGTGAAGACATTTCAGGCTGTATTTCAGAGAATACAGACACCGCTCAATGACTGACTGTCGGCATTGATTTCTGCGTTCTTTTGTGCAGGTGGAGCCGAACAGCATAGCAGCGAGAGACGGACGCATTAAGGAAGGAGACCGCATTCTGCAGGTGAATTATTTACTCTGTGACGACGATCCACTAACATCAGGTTATGTCATATTCTCAGAAATATCATGTTTTTTTTTTCCAGTACTCCTCAAATAACCGCTACCCTTTTAATTAACAAAAAGAAAAGTGGAAAAAAAGGGGGTTTTTTTGTCTAGGAGGGGAAAAAAAACCTCCCGATAGCTACTCTATCCTTATATGACATTCTTGTAAGAGAATAACTGAGCTGCTGGTGTCTCGAGTCTGGGGCAAGGATATGTATATTTAATCACCTCGTTTTATCAGGGAAATTAAAGTCCTTAGTTGCAGTTTCGCAGGCACTACATCATCTGTGAGAACTCTTTCTTTCTCTGTCCCTCTTTATGCAAACCTTCCATGAGGTAAGCTACTGCGAGTAGCTTCAGTTTTAACAAAAGGTCGTTCTTTGTAAATCTGACTCGAACGGAAACGCTAAGAAACGTGGACAAATAATTGCCGTTGAAAGCAAAAGGGTGATCTCAGTTTTGATATCTAGGCTGAAGCATATCTGTTATCATGTCCATGAATATACATCTTTTTTTTTTTTAACACATTTTATCAGATTGGCTTGGTGTTTGTTGTTTTTACACTGAAACACTGGAGTAACAAACTTGAAAATGAATGACCCTCTGACCCCAGGCTTGCCTATAAGTGGCTCACTCTTTTCACAGGCTAACAACTTTCAGCTTGTTTTATTATTTTTTTAGCTGAATGTTTGCCTCCTTCTATTCTGAAAAAATACAATAAAAACGAGCTTTCATCCTTGAGCAACAACTTCGTCGCCAAAGAGTTGTGCTTCATAAAATGTTTTAATGCAAAGATGTGTCACTGATTGGAAGAAAAAAAAAGCCAGATATTGACCAGTCAGTATTGATGACAATTACTTACCTATGTTTCAACATGTCTCACAGTGTGCTCATTGATGTTAAAAGAATTTTTTTTTTTTTTTTTTTTTTGGAGTTTTGGTCCTGTAAACTAAAAATCTGTTGATTTTTAGTTTACCAGATTTGTGTATCATAAATATCAAAGCTGTACTCCTAAATAAAGGTGTTACCTACTGTCTAGGAATTCCCTTTTACTTATGGTTGTTTAAGTCGGATCCCTTTCTTATCTCGGTAAAGTGACATTTTACGTAGCTTTCAGTCCAAGTAGAAGACTTTGAATCCTCTTTATTAATTGTATATTGACCTCTGAGTATCTCCCTTCTCGCAGTGTGTTGTTTGTTTACTATGAGTGATTGGGTGGGATACGGCCTGCTATGCTCCTGGCCCTATTATCTTCCTCTGACAGCCCCATTACTCTAGTGCGGAAAAGATGAACGCCACCTGTCAAAGAACAGTTAATTGTATGTCTGGATGGTCTGGTGAGAGCAGAGTTCCACTATTGACTCCCTCTCCAGAGTGTGTAGCCTCTCCTGTGTATTCATATAAGGAGCAAGTGGCAGCGGAGAGGAAGGAAGGCGGACGGCAGACGAGACATGCGGAGAGATTAAAAAAGAAGTGTGTGGAAACGAAGACTAATGGAGAGTGAAAATATATGGATAGGGGGGAAGAAAGCAAGGGGGCTTAGAGTCAAGAAAGATCAATGATCCACACAAAAAAAACCTAATCCATCTTCTCCCGCGGCTTAATTGCGTGTAATTTAAAGGACATATGTATATTATGCTAATTTTCCTCCTCGTATGCAATGTCGGTCTTTGGTGTGCAGATAAATGGCTTTGAAGTGCAAGACCGGGAGAAAGCCGTCGCCTTGTTGTCAAGCGAAGAAGCAAAGAGCATCAGACTCCTGGTGACAAGGCCAGAGATCCAGGTAAACACGCGCACGCACACACGCAGCCCTCCTGCCCCATCTTTGACAACCTGTCATGTCAGATAAAAGCGACTGCTGCTTGAGAGCCTTTTGGTTTTCTTTCCTGTCAAAGTGATTGTTTAGAGTACCTGCGCGTGCGCATGCACACACACACACACACACACAGATGTGTACATTCATGGGTGCGAAACCTCAGAGAGGACTCTGACAAGATCTCGTGATTGCAGCTGGAAGAGGAGGCTGTGTGGCTGGATGACGAGCAGCAGCGGCTTGTTGAGGAGCTGAAGATGGAGATTCTGGAGGAGAAGAGGAAGCAGAGGGAACAGAGCTTTGAGATGGCAGATAAGGTGAGTAAAAGAAATCAGAATAAGAAACAAAAAAAGAGAGACGGCGGAGAAAGGATGGCGACAGCACTGCAACTGATGTGTGCGACCACAGTATCGATCTCACCAAGGCGGTGGGAAGTTAGAGGAGACATGCTTTTGTTCTTATCAACATCATGTTACCCATAGTTTACGTGAATGTTGTATTGATTAATTCAAGCTGTAATTTATATTATCTTTCCATTTCAAATATTTGTGTTATATTTTAAACATATCTTGACGGTTGTGGTTATTGCTCACTGGTAAAGGACTTAAAAATCAAAACAAATATAACTTCCCTGTCATTATCCTTAAGGCCCATTTCGCATGGGCTTAAAACTACTCTATGAACTAAAGGACTCCACTGCTATTTGAATACCACTGAACCAAGGTGATTTGAAAACTTTTATTTTGGTGTGAAGACGATCAAATTGCCAAACTTTTGGGGCTCCCTAAATAAATTATCCTTAGCATCCTTACCAACCATCCTTCATTTCTTTATAATGAAGGAAAGGCTTCAACCTCTCCTTTAGCTTTAACATGCAATATTCCGAATTTGCATCCAACGTCAGCAACTTAAACCTCTTTGTTTTACTTTTGGCCATCTCCGAAATGATGCCTTACCTCTTGTACGCAGAGTAAAGAGTCTTCTGTTTCTTAATTTAAAGCTTCAAGGCGATGAGGACGTCACAACAGACACGGCCACCTGTTCTTCCAACAATCAGGACAGTGGATTTGGGCGCAGCACAGACAGTACCGAGCACCAGCCCTTGTTGGCAAGACTTTACAGGAGGAGCCCAGCGCAGTGCCTGAGGGATCGATGGCAGTCAGAACATCCACACAACAGGCGAGGGACCGTTGTACCACAACACGCTCAAAGCACAAAAACCCATTCAACGAGCCAAGGCAACGAAAGCGTAGTGAGTATTCGTAACAGTGGTTGCGGAGTCCGAGGCTTAGAGAACTGCTTCCAGCAACTTTTAGAACTCAAGTGCCAAATACGAAACGGGGGCGAATGTGGGGTGTACTCCATTAGACACAGCATAGAATGTAGTCTCACTGGGCAAGGTGGAGGGGATGGAGATAGTGAAGGTGATGTTGGTGCAGGGGGAGGGGTAGAGCAGGAGTTGAAGATGCTGAACGAAGAGCTGCGCAGCATTGAGTTGGAGTGCCAGAGCATCATGCAAGCCCATCAGCTACGCAAGTCCCAGCAGCTTGAGCAATCACAGTCTGCACCCTGCTCACCAGGAACGAACCAGAAAACTGGACAAAAGCGGCATGGGAGGCTGGCGGACATTCATGAGTACCCCGAGAGGTCCGACAGCGACAGAGTTCGCGAGAAGGACAGCTCCAGTGCCTACAACACAGCGGAGAGTGCCCGGTCAACGCCTCTTGGCATGGAGAGATCCCCTGATCATTCTCTGCAGAGACAGATCAGCATTACCAACCAGAAAAACCTCAGGCTTGCCTCTTCTGCATCATCCAATCCCATTCCTATCCCCAAGCCTCAAGGAACACATAGGCCGTGCAGGCCAGCCGATCAAGGTCCAGTCATCTCCAGCAGCCCCGACCAGAGCAATCCGTCACGGTCTGAGTCGGACCCAGCTCTACCGGCGGACGATGAAAGATGCGACAAAAAGGGAAGGAGCAGAGACTCGAGAAGAGCTCTTCCTTATGGCGCTTCATATCAGACGGGCACCTACCACGGCCAGGGAGGATCCAAGCAACTTCAGGTTTGTATTATGAAAACATACCTATGTAGTGCACATCTACATAAAGCATTTCTGAATAACTGTGGCGAACATCATCTTTGTTGCAGAGCTATATGCAGCTGCTCCAGCAGCACTCGTCCCTGGAGTACTCACAGAGCCAGCTGAGTCTCCTCAGCGTGTGTCGAGATCCCATGCACCGCAACGGTCGTGCGGGGGAGCCTCGCCTGGAGTGGAAAGTCAAAGTCCGCGCAGATGGGACACGCTATGTCGCCAGGAGACCCGCTCGCGACCGCATACTTAGGGAGCGGGCGCTCAGAATCAGAGAAGAGAGGAGCGGAGGCATGACCACAGATGACGACGCGATGAGTGAGATGAAGATGGGCCGCTACTGGAGCAAAGAGGAGAGGAAGCAGCATTTGGCAAGAGCCAGAGAGCAAAGGAAGAGGAGGGAGTTCATGCAGAAAAGCCGTCTCGATTGCCTAAAGGAAGGACCGGCGAGCGGGGCCGAGGGCAAAAAGGAGATCAACATCTTGGAGCTCAGTCACAAAAAGATGATGAAGAAGCGGAACAAAAAGATTCTGGACAACTGGATGACCATCCAAGAGCTGATGAGCCATGGAGCGAGGGTCCCAGAGGGGTCTACTGTTCATAATGCCTTTCTTTCTGTCACCACTGTTTAAGGGACGTTGTTTAAATACTTGATGCAGGCATATTTTTTAAAATCAGGTGCATCGTTGCTTTGCTTTAGAAGTCATCACTCCTTGAAACCACTGTAAAGGGGGAAATGTCGTGGGTGAGAAACTCTGTAGCATTCCCTGAGCAACTTTCTTGCTAACCGTTGACGAATGTTCAGCAATCAGTACCACACGTCAGTCATTTAAAACACGACGCAAGACGCTTTTAAGCCGGACCAACGTTTTTTGGGGGTTTTTTTGGTGATATGGTGGTGCCTCGTAGCATGTCGGTTCAATCAGTTTATAAAGCGTGAACGAACCGACGACGTTTTGTATGCTCTGTTTTGTGTCTTAATATCTGTAATTTTTATGTTTCATAATATATGAAGCAATTTTACTTGCCTCATTCGAGCTGGCCTTTTATATGGGGAAGATTGCAGTATTTTTTACACTTTGTAATCTCAAATTTTGTAAGATTTTTTTTTTATGCAGAATGTCAATTGTATCGTAAACGATTATCATAATTTCCTATTTATATTTGTATCACCAAAACCCGCCACTGTCGAGGTGAGACTATTTGATTGTACTATAGCTAATGCTGTACGCCAGACCAGCAAAACAGGAAATAAGAAATCTCAAAAGGAAAAACCCTTCTGGAGACAACTCCTTTACATCGCAACTGCATCGACTGTCAGAGTTGTCAGTTTACATCACTAAAAATGTCAACATGCTATGTCAAAGGGACACTTTAGACATAAGTTAGAAGGGTTCTTTGAAACAATTTTACCTCAGCTTACAGTTAAAACTGAATTATCAAGAATTCAATGCTTTGCTAATGAAATCATCGCCTGATACTTTAAAATATGAACCTGTGAGTTATGTTGAAATCGTCTGAGTTTAATTTATATTGTTTACTTTCTAATTGTATTTATTGTAAATTAAGTTAATCGTCTCCTCAGATTCTCTTAATGTGGGGTATCCTGGGGAAAGCAACACTTTTCAATGCGCTGGGAAGACTTTGTATCATATTTTCAGCCTTTCAGCACTGCTGTTTTTACTGCAAATTGAGTAATTGTTGATAATGTTTGTAAAACTGAATAAAGAAAGCAACAAAAAACATTGTCCTTGTGTATATATTGATTTATGTTTATGTTCTTTTAACTTTAGACATTTAGGACTGATGATTTAAAGTTTCACCTGCATATTTTGTTGTATATTATTTTGTTGTAAGGTATGCTCCAAATAGGGTGAGGGTTATTAATCTTTGTTTGTATTTTGGGGTATTTTGGCTTTCATTAAAAAGCACAATTTAATTAACACAATGCACTGCATTAAAAAAAGTTTATTTCTGATTAAAATGATTATGATTAAGATAAATCTTCAGCCTCATTTACCACATCAAACAACTTAAATTTTATTCCAGGACTCTTAGGCAATCAAAGCCTGGGAGTCCTGGATTAGGCCATAAGATTTAGTGTCTTGTGGCCTAATGGCATGAATGGTGATTCGCCCTGTTGCTGCCTTTTACTGTATTCATGTATTCATATTGGACATGACTAACAGCGTGGAAGGTTGGGACGTGTGCATGTGAGGAGCAATAGCATGGCTGTGCCGTAACAGGAAGCATTAAAGCTAAACTATCCTCCCATTTCAACGCATTAAAGAGACACCTGTGAAGTCTCCGTTGCCCCTGTCCACAGCCCAGTGAGCTGAAGAATTAATGAGACACTTCAGACTGGCATCCTCATCACTGGAGCCTTTATGCATAATATTAAATCAGGTAAGCAACACATCCACCTCCTTCAAACCCTGCCTGCCTTCCCCATATATCATATCCGAAGCCACTGTATCTGTGTGGCAAAAAAACAAACATTCCAATCGGTTTCTAAGGACCAGAGGAAAAATAATTGGGTGTATTTGAATGTTGTGTTACACCCCCCAGTTGTATCCTTGCTAACGTTTTCATCCATAAAAGCAAAATAGCTGTGGTTTTGAGGCTGCAATGCCTTGGAATGAGCTTCAAAGTATTACAACTTTTCTTAAATGTTTTATGGCAGCAGGTATGTTATATGGCAGCAGGTATGACAGAAAATCAACATCTAAAAGAAAAAAACAGCATAAAAGTTTTATTGCTTTTTTGCAGACTCAGGCATTGGGAATAATAAATAAAACATCAGAAAATAGTTAATGGTGAGTTGAGAGCGTGGATATCACAATCCTTTTTAAAAAAAAGTAAAAATAAGGCTACATAAGATGACATTCTGTTGTTTGTGGATGAAGGACTGACAAATCCACTTGCATAAAGCGCTGTTGGTCGATGAATACATTAACAACATATCCAAAATATCCGCAGTTCTGACACGTGTGCTGATCGCAGCTATTTGGTTAAAATGAGACCGACTTTACTTTGATGTTATCAAAAACGCAGCCAGGCAAGATGAGTGCACACATGCTGGTAGGAGAGAAAAAAAAAAAAAGCAGAAGACAGAAATAATGTGAATAAGATTGGTCAGAATCTATAAGAGATACAGCCTCTCTTTCCTGAGTAGTACAGAGATTTTGGCTTTTTTACTATCATTTTACACTGTTTAGTTACAATTTGCATGTGTATAATTGTCGGATAAGCTTAATAATGAAAGAGCATTGCACAGTTTTGATTATGAGATCATGATCCCGATAGTTAAAGTGGAGCAGTAAAGGTAGAGGAGATGGAGAAAACAAGCCTACAACTGTCTTTAATCTAACGACGCCTTTGAAGTTAGCAGGGGAACCAGAACAAAGTCGGGCGTTCTTTGCCGAGACGAGAGCTTAAACGTTGTGATGAGAAACAGGTGACACATTATGTGTGACTCTGAGTCCTTGAAGGTGATTATATGGTATTTATGTATGGAGGTAGTCGACTGAAGCTTCAGTATAACAAAAAAAAAGGGATATTATCAAAATGTGCCATATCTATTTGATTGTTCAGTACAGCAAGATGAAAAACAGAAGACGATAAAAACAGGACAGAAAAAAGGGACAGAGATAAATGTGCCAGGTTGTTGTTTTGGGGGTTTTGTTTTATTGATTTTAGTTTTATATTCTTTGATTAGATCCGCTTTGTCTCTGTTTTGCCTTGGTTCAGTCCTTTGGTTTTATTGGGTTCCTTCTGTCTGGTTATTTGTTAGAGTCAGATTCCTACTTACCCAGTTTGTGAACTCTCCCTCCCTCGCCCCCTGTGCCATTCTCTCTCTCTCTCTCTCTCTCTCTCTCTCTCTCTCTCTCTCTGCCTGCTTCCACAATCAAGTTCCCCACTATATATACCACTCATTCTCAGTCACTCCTTGCTGGTTCCTTTTGTTATATCCTGTTATTTCCCTGCTGTCACTTTCCTCTGAATTCCTGTTTTTGTTTTGCTCTGGCTCCTGGTGATTTTTGTAAGTTTTCTTCATTATTGTGTATGAAACATTCTTCATCTATCTGTCTTTCTGCATTTGGGTCCAACTTAACCACTACACACCATGACAAAATGGTTATTTACTTTTATGTTTTCCCTCTTTATCTTGTTAAAACATTAAATAGTATAAAGGAAAGAGAACTATATCTCCAAATACAAACTTTCTTCTTTAAACCAGTCACACAACAGTAAAGAAGCGTCCATAATACTAAGTACAATCAAGTTAGGCATGTATGACATAATAAATATGCTAAGTTCTAATTTACTTAGCTTTTGTTGTCTGACCACAAAGTAAACCAATGTCTATTTTCCACCCTCTAGTTCCACTGAATCCAGAAAGAAAAAAAATAACTGAGAGCAGAGGAAATAGCAAACTGGTCAAAACCAAGTAAATGTATAATGCTAATAATTTTAACAAATGCAAATTATTTAAAGTAGCATTATGGTCAACAATGCGTGGCTGCTGTTGTAGGTAAAACTGACTTGTACTTTAAATATGCTGTGGCCAGGGGGATAAACTTCATCACAACCTATTAAGGTGGAAGAAAAAAGATGTCTCTTGTTTACAAAATAGGTTGTATGCGATTTGGAAAGACATGCGCATTTAAATATTATCCGTTTTTGGGGAGGCGGGAGGGGTTTGTCAGCGCAGCAACAATAACAACGTCCATTGTACATTCTCTATGCAATACAATCAGTATTTATGCCTCCATCTAAAATAAACGACTGATTAGAGCTGGTTAATGACAGTTAATTTTCCATTCATTAAACTTCTATTCACGGCCCCAATTATACACTAATGACTGATTCAGAGTTCTAATTAACAGTAGGCTTTTTTTTCCTTTTTTTTTTTTTTGCCGCCTTGTCATGAAGGACACCTCCGCAAAAGTCGCTATTTATATGTGTCTTTGTTGATCAATCTTATTAAATGGCTTTAAATGTTTGTTTTGGTTGATTAAATATTTCACTGAATGCTAACTCCTGTTGTAGTTCTTTATGGTGATAAGCAACTTAAAAAAAAAACGCCTAAATTCATTTAGCAACAATGAAAGATGTTTATTTGCAAAGTCGTGAAAGCATGTCTTTGAACGTCGCACTAGCACCAGTTGACTCCGCCTACTAATGGGCTAACCTGCTAGCTCACCTGTTTCTCATCAGCTCATCAAATCACAGCTTGACAAGACAAACAGGACTCTCCTCAGGTAACACATTGTTTGCTCTGATTTGAAGTATTTTGACGAGATTAATACAGTTTAGGATAAGACTAATATAAGAAAATATGGAAAAAAAAGTGAAGCTCTGTATCATTTTGGAAACATTTTTTTTTTGAGAGCTGGGTTATTCCTTTTATCACACATTGAGATCTGCCACAGCAGCAAAGAATAGATGCGATAAAAACGGCAGCATGAAATCTGTTGGCGAACACAGAGGCAAATCTGCCCCTTTTGTTGGGAATATACAATAAACAAATGCATTTATCCGATACCTTTCAAAGACGTACCAGAAAGCACTAACAGCGGGTTTTTTTCTTCTTCTGTTTTCCAACCGCAAAGTCATGCAGAGTTGTAAGATTCCCAATAAAGGTGGCTCAACTTCTGCCTAATGAGAATTATAAAATATTCAGAGGCCCAGCACCACTGCAGATTTAACGCTTGAGATAATTGAGACAGAATTCAGAGAAAGAGCAGGAGGCAAAAAAATAAAAAAAATAAAACAAAACTATCCTTTCATGGGATGGTTGGAGAGAGATGTTAAGGGTTTTTTCCTGCGTAACATCCTGCTTCCCTTTTGCCTGTTCGTACTACAACGCAGTATATAATACAAATCTAAAATACTCTGTTTTGTGTTTGTCTAAAGACGACTTAGTTAAAAAAAAAAAGTGTGTCTCAGGATAGTGACATTACAAAGAGCTTCCACGTGGTTTCGTTACCCAGTGGATCTGAAGCGTGGTTTATCCTGTGGGGTGAAAGGCTTTGATTGAACAGTGATGTGCTCAACTATTGATCCGGCTGACTGCGTCTGATCTTGCTGGTTCACTGAAAGCATCATTACGGGCTCGCTGGTGTGGAGTGCTTTGCTGAGAATACCGGCTCTGCTCCGCTTGGAGAGTTTGGTGCACCCTGAGCGGAGTACGAGACATTAAGAAAACGTTTTTTTTTTTTTTTTTTTTAAAGCCCAGTCTTTTCCATTCACTTTTCTGTGTTGCTCTTTTGGCAGCAAACATCAGAAAAGCCTTTTTATTTTAGAAAGAAAAAAAAAAGCCGAATAAAGTTCTATAAAAGAAAAGACAAGAATAGAGGTCCGACTGTAAAGTGCCATTAGGAGATGCTACTCTGAAAGCACAGCTTTAGGTTTGGTCGTCTGACAATCCCGCAAAATACAAATGTAAAGACCAAAATGATGTGATGTAATGCTTTCCAGTCACTTGCATTGTGTTTTAGGCCTGTCACGATGTCATCTGCAGGATAATTAAGTCCAGTAACTTTGCATGTTAGGCATTCTGAAAGCTTGTGCAAAGTTGTGCCTCGATAGCCCTGCTTACTTGTACTCGGCTCTAATTAGCTGATGCAACTTCATATTTATGTAGATTTACACTTGCAGGAATCCAATTATGACTTACTGAAAACCAGGACAGCTCTCAGACAATGTTTACGGTAAGGTACAACTTCTTAGCGAAATTACAAGATGACACAAAGGTGCAAATTGAAGTAAACATGGCATCCAAGAAATGGGTGCGGCATTTAGAAAGAGCTCTTTTGATTATTTCAGTATGTTTCCCTAGACGCTTAAGTGTTTTCAAAAAGTTTATCGCCACAAAAAATAATGGACGGTTCCCTCCAAGTGGCTCCCTATAACCAAGAGCCGTTAGACTTGATGAAAGCAAATTGATTCTCAGAATGAGAAGTGTCTCCGTGAGATTACCTTAGTCATTGAGAAGACATGCCTGTTATTTTTGTTAATACGTTTTATATGACAAGACAACAGGGCACAGATGGTGCTTCTGTCTTTCACAGCCCCTTAGAAGCAGCGAAGAAGGAAAAAAACGGTAAATTAAAACCAACAAGTCCAGAAACGTGAAACGGTTGCTGCAGATTTACGAGAAGCGGCAGACGGATGTGGTTAAATCACATCGGGAGTGAAGGGGAGCCGGTTTACGTCTGGGAAGAATTTAGTTAAAAGCAGCTTTGTACAAGACATTCCATCAATGTTGGGAATTTATATAACCTCAGTACTAGTGCTGAGTTTGGTTTTAGATAAAAATAAAAATAAAAAAAACTGTAGAAGTTGGATTGACAGCCGTCAGTCTTACTCTGTCTGCTGTTGAAAATCAAAACCTTGTTTTGTTAGCTTGACTGAACTAATTATTGCGATTTTGGCAATATCTGTTGAACACGTATATATTTTTTATGCGATTGTAAAGGACAAATAAAAGAAAACGGAACAGTAATCCGTCGGAAAACAATATTTAGGTATGGAATACCAGAAATCCTGCAACTCTAAAAGGTCGAAACCTTATAAGAGGACGAGGGTTTATCTAAGCTTCCAGAAATTTCTCCTTTGCAACTCCAGTCCTATTACACAATTAAAGCGCTGAGATCTGATCTGCTGCTGCCTGCATAATGAGAAGCTTATCTCAGTGTAGATTTCCTGATGGTCCTAATAGAGCTCAAGGTCCGCCCAGAGAAGGACAGCTTATCTCCGGTCATTCTCCACCGTTATCGGCTCCAGCTAGCAGAGATGAGGAAACAGACTTATTTAGAAAAACTGAGAAAATTTAGCGTTTAATTGAAGTAGATCTGTTCATTGAGGGGGAAAAAAGAAAACGGTTCCATGTTAAAAAGTAACCACATAAAAACATACACAGCATAATACAGGATCTTGTATTATTCATATAATGTTTATCGACCTATTTTCTGCCCGACGTTCCCATAATTTACCTTGGATGTCGATTTATTTTAAAGTCCTGAAAATGTCATGTCATCGAACAACTTTTGCAGGACGCTTGGAAGAGAAACGGGCCCACAGCATCACAGATTATCCACTATGCTTGACGTCGGGCGTGATGTTTGTACTTGCAAAGCTCAATTTGACTTTTCAAGAACTATAAGTGACATAAAATGCTTCTGAACAAGTCAAGATGTGATTGGTTTGTTGCTAGTGAAATAATTATTTATCCATCAGCCTCATCCACTATAGTTATGTGAACTAAGAGTTATTTTCCAATAATATACATTCAACTGATGGCACTGGGGAAGCAGATTCTTTATGCATACTTATAAATAAATCTCTGTTTCCCAACCAGTTAAATTTGCTACCTTTCTGTGTCTTTTCACACATCGATCTTTGTCAGAGTCTGTAGGTCTGTCGAAAGAGATGAAAGCCAAACTTTCTGAAATGCATGTAGTCTATAGGTAGGGAACCCTTGAGCTCTGTGTTACAGATAAAAGGTTAGGTCCAAAACTCAGGACAGGGAAGGTGTTCTCTAATGATAGGCCTTTTTACTTCAAAGCCGTTGAGGCTGGCAGGCTGCAGCAGCTCGAAACGTCCAAGATGGTTTTTTGTTTTTTTTTTTCCCCTTTTTTGGCAGTTTGACAAGTGAAGGAGCAGGCTTGTAATGATCCCAGAGCTGCAGAAAGGGACAGGTTAGCAACAGAAAGCAGAAATAATGATGGCCAACAAAGCAGGGCTGGGCGCAGAAAGCATCCACCCCTGGGAAGAGGGGGGAAAAAAATCAGGAAAATATTGGGGACTCTTCTCGGTGCACGTCTGTTGGCCAAAGACACGACAGCTGAAGCGTTTTGTGCTCTCTGAAAGAAAAGCAAAGAAACGCTTTTGTAAACGGGTCAGTCTGAGCAAAGACTGATCACTTTTTCTCTGTGGCACGTATCGGTTTGGTTTCGCTGTCCCTCCTTCTGACTGGCTAACGATGTGCAGAGTTCAAGATAATGCTCAAACTTGGCAGAGAGGGAAAATACAATATATTGAAGAGTAAAAAAGGAAAAAAATCAATAAAATATGCTTGTGGAAAACACCAAAAACCGTAGTAGGCTGTTTGACAACATGACAGAGAACTGTATGCTTTGGAATTGATTCTGCTAATTAACTGTATGAGACAGCAGAGCTTTCTGAATCTCTACTTAATGTCCGGTCAATACAGACCAAATCTGTACACTCCATGTTTTGCTTTGGGCTCTCATCTTGCCATTAATCAATAAAACAGTTGTTGTGATTTACTGTAACACTCGCATTTTGCTTATTGCTGGACCAAGCAATATAATTCTCAGTGGGGAAAGTCTTAAACATTGCGGTCAGTTGGGAAAAGTAAAGTTGAGTGAACCTTACCTTTTGAATAATCTCTGCTCCCAAAAACTGCAACACCAGAATAGTCTTAGAAAAACTATCAAGCAATATAGTGATCATTCACTTCTTTATACGTTTGTGTTATGTAGTGGTCATAGACATCATTCATCATCAATTATATTTACTTCGCTAGGCCATTGCCTTCCTGCGCATTTCCTCTCAGAGGAAAAAAATTCTCACTTTCAGCACAGTTTGGGCTTTCCTCATTGACTTGGATTCTCTCCAGTCAATTTTTGACTTAAAGACGCTTAAAAACACTAAGTGAACACGACAGCCGCCTCATTCGGATTGGCGTTTCTCTCTTTGCAGAGGAAGATGATTGTTTACAGCGCAGGCGATATCCGCTAAGCTTCTTAGTGTTTAACTGTCGCATTATATACGTCGCGGGCAAACCTGAGCAACTGGGTAAAATTTAAAACCTCAACAAAGTCTAAAGCTCCAGGAAGTAATTGTTTCAACAGATGAGAGCCCAGATTCTCTGGACGAAGCAAAATGTGGCACAAGGGGCTGGTTTTTACCAGGCTAATATCAACCATGACAGAAACGGAAACGGAAACAGGATACTAATACCTTTAAAGTACTTTGTAGGAAGTCCCCCCCAAAATTTCACCTCAATTTTTCCCTACCGTGTTTGCATGATTCCATTTCTCACATTTGTTCTTGCTTCGAGAAGAAAGAAAGAAATTCTGAGTTGTTAAAATTAGCAAACGCTGATTTCACCAATGTCACAAATGTCTGGAGTTGGGTTCATTGGTGCTGAAGTCGCACATTAAGCTACACCCAAAGAGCCACGACAAAAATAAAACTAAATGCCATCTCATTATTCTGTGTGTCAAAAAAA